TCGCTATGATCTGAGCTTATTCTATATTATCTCTTTATGATGTAGCTGTACATTCCGTAAAAATTTACATCTCCTAATTATCATGGTGACTGAAAGGGAATTCCATACGAAAGGGTTTATTCAGTTTAAAACCAAGAAGACCCTACATGATTTTTTCTTCATGGGAGAAGACCATAACCTGACGGAACTATCCCAATTTTGTATAGTTTCTTGTCAACAAATACGTGAAGAAGGATAAAAAGACCAGATGTTCCAAAAGGGTAAACGTCTTCTGGTTAATAGACGACACACGCAAGAACCACGGAGGTGACATTGAAACAACAAGGCACACGTAAAAATAGAAGAAAAATCGACCTTTTTATTGCGTAAAGACAAAACAAAGTTTTCAATGAGAGCATAATGGAGATGATGAAGCTTTCCCATAATCTTCATCAACCTATATTTCTTACAAGCATGTGTTAAAAATGTGTCCGTCAGCAGTCGACATATATTACAGAGCAATGTTCGGATTCAGCTCTTCAATACCAAAGCAACTACGACATGGTTTCACAATTGGTTGGGGAGACAGGGATTTTATGATCAAGAAAATGTAAGGTAAGGTTTTGAAACCAGTCCTCGTAAGCTTTTTAGTAAAGTCAGCCTCGTACGAGAATAAAAACAAGTTGACCTAAAAAAGTGTCTTTGGTCCTGAAAGAAAGGTTATGACATGTTTTTTTTAATGCATTACAGTTTTTTAACGTTTGCATGTCACATCATACAATGTACTTCATAACCTATTGTTTTAAGATATCGGTATGTAGGGCAAAGTCCATAATACACCTGGGGATGAGCAGCCTGAAACACATTATATTGATGAGTCCCTTACTAAGTGCATTTTCACCTACACATCCGAACTGAGTAAAAAAAACTCAGAGAACAGTAGAAAGTATCTTTGACAAACTCAATGTTGCTGATCGTATGACAGAGTAATGGAAGGGAGTTACGAATGTTTTGTTAAGAACGGATGTTCTACACCAAATGTGTCTCACAATCAGCTAGTAATGGTATAGTAACTCCCTCAGAAACACTAAAGGAGCGCTGTCGAACTCTGGAGAAATATGGCAAATGTTTGTTGATTTTATAAAAGGTTTAGTGAAGAAAGATAATGGTTCCTTCGTGACAACCGATAAACAAATACATAAAAAAACAGAATCGCACACTATCACAGACTATAGGTCATAAAATAACCTAGAGAATGTTTCGTTGTTATTTTCTCACGATTAACAACGATTTCATCCTTACATTTCAATACCAAAGTGATAATAAATGTTTTTGTTTCAATTGTTAGATTTTAAAATGGAACGGTACACTAGGGTCGTCAACTGAATTGTTTTGACTAAATGACGCGTACTTTTTAGACCTTTCTATGTCGTCAGTGATTTCAAACAATCTTTACTTTGTGGTTTCGGTTTGTGTTCAGTGGACGTGGTGGTCGTGGTCGCGGTTGTGGTGGTGTTGGTGGCCGTAGTGGTTGTAGTATTGGTGGCCTAAGTGGTTGTGGTGTTGGAGACCGTGGTGTTTGTAGTGTTGGTGGCCTAAGTGGTTGTGGTGTTGGAAGTCGTGGTGGTTGTGGTGTTGATGGTCGTGGTGGTTGTGGTGTTGGTGGCCTAAGTGGTTGTAGTGTTGGTGGCCTCAGTGGTTGTAGTGTTGGTGGTCGTGGTGGTTGTGGTGTTGGTGGTCGTGGTGGTTGTGGTGGTGGTGGCCTAAGTGGTTGTGGTGTTGGTGGTCGTGGTGGTTGTGGTGTTGGTGGCCTAAGTGTTTGTAGTGTTGGTGGCCTCAGTGGTTGTGGTGTTGGTGGCCGTGCTGTTTTGTGGTGGTGGTGGCCGTGTTGTTTTGTGGTGTTGGTGGCCGTGTTGTTTTGTGGTGTTGGTGGCCGTGTTGTTTTGTGGTGTTGGTGGTCGTGGTGGTTGTGGTGTTGGTGGCCGTGTTGGTTGTGGTGTTGGTGGCCGTATTGGTTGTGGGTTTGGTGGCGTATTGGTTGTGGTGTTGGTGGCTTATTGGTTGTGGTGTTGGTGGCCGTAGTGGTTGTGGTGTTGGTGGATGGGTTGTGGTGTTGGTGGCCTAAGTGGTTGTGGTGTTGGTGGTCGTAGTTGTTGTGGAGGTGGTGGCCTAAGTGGTTGTGGTGTTGGTGGCCTAAGTGGTTGTAGTGTTGGTGGCCTAAGTGGTTGTAGTGTTGGTGGTCGTGGTGGTTGTGGTGTTGGTGGCCTAAGTGGTTGTAGTGTTGGTTGCCGTAGTGGTTGTGGTGTTGGTGGTCGTGGTGGTTGTGGTGTTGGTGGCCGTGTTGTTTTGTGGTGTTGGTGGACGTGGTGGTTGTGGTGTTGGTGGCCTAAGTGGTTGTGGTGTTGGTGGCCGTAGTGGTTGTGGTGTTGGTGGCCGTATTGATTGTGGTGTTGGTGGCCGTGGTGGTTGTGGTGTTGGTGGCCTAGGTGGTTGAAGTGTTGGTGGCCTAATTGGTTGTGGTGTTGGTGGGCGTGGTGGTTGTGGTGTTGGTGGCCTAAGTGGTTGTGGTGTTGGTGGCCTAAGTGGTTGAAGTGTTGGTGGCCTAATTGGTTGTAGTGTTGGTGGTCGTGGTGGTTGTGGTGTTGGTGGCCTTAGTGGTTGTGGTGTTGGTGGCCGTATTGGTTGTGGTGTTGGTGGCCGTATTGGGTGTGGTGTTGGTGGCCGTATTGGGTGTGGTGTTGGTGGCCGTATTGGTTGTGGTGTTGGTGGCCGTATTGGTTGTGGTGTTGGTGGCCGTATTGGTTGTGGTGTTGGTGGCCGTATTGGTTGTGGTGTTGGTGGCCGTATTGGTTGTGGTGTTGGTGGCCGTATTGGGTGTGGTGTTGGTGGCCGTATTGGTTGTGGTGTTGGTGGCCGTATTGGGTGTGGTGGTTAGTGGCCATATTGGTTGTGGTGTTGGTGGCTGTAGGGGTTGTGGTGTTGGTGACCGTAGTGGTTGTGGTGTTGGTGGCCGTAGTGGTTGTGGTGTTGGTTGCCGTGTTGTTTTGTGGTGTTTATGGCGTGGTGGTTGTGGTGCTGGTGGCCGTATATGCGTTGTGATGTTGGTGGCCGTTGTAGTTGTGGAGTTGGTGGCCGTAGTGGTTGTGGTTGTTGCGGCCGTGGTGATTGGGGTGTTGGTGGCTGTGATGGTTGTGGTGTTGGTGGACGTATTGGTTGTGGTGTTGGTAGCCGTATTGGTTGTGGTGTTGGTGGCGTATTGGTTGTGGTGTTGGTGGCCGTATTGGTTGTGGTGTTGGTGAACGTATTGGTTGTTCTGTTGGTGGCCGTATTGGCTGTGGTGTTGGTTGCCGTATTACTTGTGGTGTTGGTGGCCGTATTGGTTGTGATGTTGGTGGCCGTGGTGGTTGTGGTGTTGGGGGCTGTAGTGGTTGTGGTGATGGTTGCCGTAATGGTTTTGGTGTTGGTGGCCGTAGTGAATGTGGTGTTGGTGGTTGTGGTGTTGTTTGACGTAGTGGTTGTGGTGTTGGTGGCCGTGTTGTTTTGTGGTGTTGGTGGCCGTGGTGGTTGTGGTGTTGGTGGCCGTATTGGTTGTGGTGTTGGTGCCCGTATTGGTTGTGGTGTTGGTGGCCGTTGTGGTTGTGGTGTTGGTGACCGTGGTGGTCGTGGTGTTGGTGACCGTAGTGGTTGTGGTGTTGATGGCCGTAGTGGTTGTGGTGTTGTTGGCCGTAGTGGTTGTGGTGATTGTGGTTGTTGTGGTGTTGGTGGCCGTAGTGGTTGTGTTGTTGGTGACTGTAGTGGTTGTGGTGATGGTTGCCGTAGTTGTTGTGGTGTTGGTGGCCGTAGTGGTTGTGGTGTTGGTGGATGTAGTGGTTGTGTGATTGGTGGCCGTGTTGTTTTGTGGTGTTGGTGGCCGTAGTGGTTGTGGTGTTGGTGGCCGAAGTGGTTGTGGTGTTGGTGGTCGTGGTTGTTGTGGTGTTGGTGGCCGTTGTGGTTGTGGTGTTGGTGACCGTGGTGGTTGTGGTGTTGGTGACCGTAGTGGTTGTGGTGTTGGTGGCCGTAGTGATTGTGGTGTTTGGTGGCCGAAGTGGTTGTGGTGTTGGTGGTCGTGGTTGTTGTGGTGTTGGTGGCCGTAGTGGTTGTGGTGTTGGTGGCCGTATTGATTGTGGTGTTGGTGGCCGTGGTTGTTGTGGTGTTGGTGACCGTATTGGTTGTGGGGTTGGTGGCTGTAGTGGTTGTGGTGGTGGTTGCCGTAATGGTTTTGGTGTTGGTGGCCGTAGTGGATGTGGTGTTGGTGGCCGTTGTGGTTGTGGTGTTGGTGGCCGGTTGTGTTGTGGTGTTGGTGGCCGTTTTGGTTGTGATGTTGGTGGCCGAGGTGGTTGTGGTGTTGGGGGCTGTAGTGGTTGTGGTGATGGTTGCCTTAATGGTTTTGGTGTTGGTGGCCGTAGTGAATGTGGTGTTGGTGGCCGTTGTGGTTGTGGAGTTTGTGGCCGTAGTGGTTATGGTTGTTGTGGCCGTGGTGATTGGGGTGTTGGTGGCCGTGATGGTTGTGGTGTAGGTGGCCGTATTGGTTGTGGTGTTGGTAGCCGTATTGGTTGTGGTGTTGGTGGCCGTATTGGGTGTGGTGTTGGTGGCCGTAGTGGTTGTGGTGTTGGTGGCCGTAGTTGTTGTGGTGTTGGTGGCCGTATTTGTTGTTCTGTTGGTGGCCGTATTGGCTGTGGTGTTGGTGGCCGTAGTGGTTTTGGTGTTGGTGGTCGTATTGGTTGTGGTGTTGGTGGCTGTAATGGTTGCGGTGTTGGTTGACGTAGTGGTTGTGGTGTTGGTGGCTGTAGTGGTTGTGGTGTTGGTGGCCGTAGTGGTTGTGGTGTTGGTGGCCGTGTTGTTTTGTGGTGTTGGTGGCGTGGTGGTTGTGGTGGTTGTGGTGCTGGTGGCCGTATTGGTTGTGGTGTCGGTGGCCGTATTGGTTGTGGTGTTGGTGGCCGTATTGGTTGTGGTGTTGGTGGCCGTGGTGTTTGTGGTGTTGGTTACCGTCGTTGTTGTGGTGTTGGTGACCGTATTGGTTGTTCTGTTGGTGGCCGTATTGGCTGTGGTGTTGGAGGCCGTCGTGGTTGTGGTGTTGGTGGCCGTATTGGTTGTGGTGTTGGTGGCCGTATTGGTTGTTCTGTTGGTGGCCGTATTGGCTGTGGTGTTGGAGGCCGTCGTGGTTGTGGGGTTGGTGGCCGTATTGGTTGTGGTGTTGGTGGCCGTATTGGCTGTGGTGTTGGTGGCCGTCGTGGTTGTGGTGTTGGTGGCCGTATTTGTTGTGGTGTTGGTGGCCGTATTGGTTGTGGTGTCGGTGGCCGTATTGGTTGTGGTGTTGGTGGCCGTATTGGCTGTGGTGTTGGTGGCCGTCGTGGTTGTGGTGTTGGTGGCCGTATTTGTTGTGGTGTTGGTGGCCGTGTTGTTTTGTGGTGTTGGTGGCGTGGTGGTTGTGGTGGTTGTGGTGCTGGTGGCCGTATTGGTTGTGGTGTCGGTGGCCGTATTGGTTGTGGTGTTGGTGGCCGTATTGACTGTGGTGTTGGTGGCCGTATTGGTTGTGGTGTTGGTGACCGTATTGGTTGTTCTGTTAGTGGCCTCATTGCCTGAGGTGTTGGTGGCCGTAGTGGTTGTGGTGTTGGTGGCCGTATTTGTTGTGGTGTTGGTGGCCGTGTTGTTTTGTGGTGTTGGTGGCGTGGTGGTTGTGGTGGTTGTGGTGCTGGTGGCCGTATTGGTTGTGGTGTCGGTGGCCGTATTGGTTGTGGTGTTGGTGGCCGTATTGGCTGTGGTGTTGGTGGCCGTGGTGTTTGTGGTGTTGGTAGCCGTGGTGGTTCTGGTTTTGGTGGCGATAGTGGTTGTGGTGTTGGTGGCCGTGGTGGTTGTGATGTTGGTGGCGTTATGGTTGTTGTGTTGGTGGCCGTGGTGTTTGTGGTGTTGGTGGCCGTGGTGTTTGGGGTGTTGGTGGCCGTGGTGTTTGTGGTGTTGGTGGCCGTGGTGTTTGGGGTGTTGGTGGCCGTGGTGTTTGTGGTGTTGGTGGCCGTGGTGTTTGTGGTGTTGCATTGGTGGCCGTGGTGGTTCTGGTGTTGGTGCCGATAGTGGTGTTAGTGTGCGTGCGGTGGTGTTGTTTGTGGTGTACACACTTTAAAATAAAAAGTGAAAAAGCTGGTGTAACTTCATTTGTATGATCTAAGCTAGCAACCCGCAATGTGATATCAACTAATAATCAGATATATCTTGTACAATGGTTGCTTTTATAGAATATTGAATGTTGCAATGAGATCGGTAGCTGTTGTTATTGATATCTACATATCATTTATAATGTCAGTAATTTGATCAGCATTGTTGTAAAAGGGAAATTATTGAAATTATTTTGACTCTATATACATAACTGTCTGAAGATTTGTGAGCTGTCATTATATATAAACGGTGATATAATACGTCAGCTGCCTAAGTATGTTTGAAGCTATGCTTATATATCTATTCGTGCGACAGGCTACGTGCATGAGGTAGGTTGATCTATCTGTATTTTTGTTTCATCCTGCTATTCATCATCTGTTTGACACATGAGAGGTTGGCAAATTCTTATCATTGGCGGTCAATATGGGCCATTACCATTTCTCTAATGGTGTTGGCATGTCGTAATTAAGGTCTCAGACACTCAAATGTAATGCTGTTTTCTATGACAACAACGTAAAACACAACCTTCATAAGGACCTATGCCAAATGACATCTGTAAAAATAAAATAAATCTTGTTAACCTCAGCAAGGCACAAAGAGGTGCTTTCCATCTATGCTGGCACGATAACAAATGCTTTTCGTCTTCGTTTTGCAGGAATATTTATAATAACTCGCTTCTCAGGCAACCTCCAGAACTGATAATAAATTACACCACGGACAATTCATCTTGCCATTTGTCTACTGTACGCTAACGATGGTCATCTCGCCAAGTAGCTAGATGGCAAATGAGTTGATTCGAGTTTTACCATTTGTAACATTTCCTCAAACATCCGTAACATAAAAACCTTTCCTATTTATAAAGTTTACATATTACAGCACAGTTTATGTACTACTCCAGATCCTGTTCTTATGTGGTCTAGATGGATGCGCCCTGTCGACCAATCAAAGACCTGCTGAGTATTTTTCTCTTGAGAGCGTTCAATCGTAGCTGTGAGCTTTTACGATCGTCACCAAGGCTGATTTGTAGCTGTATGATTTCAGTGTCCTCAATCAGTGGAGACTGTTTCAATGTGACATTCATTGTTGGTGACCTACATACCTTTCTTGCTAGACGGTATGAATGTTGATACAGGAAACTCCTTTCTCTCATTTCCGTGTGTGTAAGATAGAAGTGTCCAGGGTAAGAAATGGGTGTAGAAATAATATAATCCCTCACCCCTCTTTCACTCTCTTACCTCTTTACCGTACACGTTAGAAAGATGAGATGAATTTTTCTGCGCAAACTACAAATATTGGGTATGCTAAATCTCGCTGACAGATTCGTTTCACCAAAAAAGCTCACAGGTAAATTGATATTATCAAAATGGTAGCCAGTCAAAACGCATTTTGGTGGTTTCTGAGCTTATTCTGGTAGTTGGACTGAGAGAAAAAACACTCTTTCATGCCTAAGGGTGTAGGAGAAGGAAATCTCACCCCTGATGTGATGTTAATCCGTTTCTTCTTGTGGGTTTCTTTCTCCCACAATCACTCATATTTCTATCTACTACTGAAACATTCTATAAACATGGAAGAGTTAACGAAAAATTCAGCTTCATGTACATTGTGTCAGTATGTGGGGTACAACCTGGACGTGATTCCTTTGGTCAGTATGTTAATTATAACGTCGCGACCAATGGTTTGTGTAATTATCTTCAATAGTAACATAAGAATCACGGCAATCGTTTCTCCGATCGGAAACAAAAAACAATCTTTACAAAAAGAAAAATATGGGTTTGTAGATATAACATACAATTATTGGAGAGAATAGAGATATAGCTGGGAATCATATTATTAACTTTAGATAATTCTAGAAATGGAGAACATGCTTTCGTGACTTTGTATTTATATACAATTAAAAAGGAATTAACTTGACTTAAATAAACATAATAACCAATCGCCATGCGTCGTGGAATCTCTATGTTACTGTTGCTCACTGTCTGTGTTGGTTTCCGATGTATGCATATTTTATAATACAAAATACAAAGGTACTTGTTGAAAGACTGCAGCAAACAGTGTCGTCTGTTGACAGATTTGGTATCCCATAGGATATGTTTCGCTAACAGTAAGGGCGTACATGCTATCAGAATACATCAATTCACGTATTATAACAGTACTCACATGCTATAAGAATACATCAATTCACGTATTATAAGCGTATAGTAACATTTTTAGCCTAATGATTTCCTGTCCTTTGGCACCCTTTTTGTATTTACCATTTTGTATGAAAGTATACCACTGCAGGTGGTTGATCTACGATACTTTTTTTGCCAATACTAACAAACAGGTTATTCCCAAACGTCTATGCATGTCTGACTTTTACGTACGTTCTTCATGTCGGTTTGTAACTAGTTAACATCCATAAAAAGAGTAATGCACGGATCATGAACTTCGTCGGAAGAAGACAAGAATACACAGAGTGTTAGTGAGAGACTACTAGTGTTCTACAACAGACTAATTGTTATGAGGCTTACATGTACAACGTGTCTTCTCTATACCTCTTACGTAGTTTGTAACATTGTACACAAGGCAAGGTAAAAGGTTACGTACTATGCGAAGGAATTCCTCAAGCCTACAGTAAACGCATAGTATTCTTTACTAGTATTTGATACAGTTTCTTTTCAAAACTTTTGAAAGGTACCACCAAGTAGGTATATTGGCAGAAAAGAACAGTATCAAACGCAGAACATATTTTGTTGCATAAAGATTTGCCGAAGAAAAAACAAGAGAATTCCGAAGTGTCAATAAAAATAACAATATCAAAAGTGGAACATGTTTTGTGATAAGAACCTTGTGGTGGTAGACTTAAGGTGTTCTGACAGCCAGTTATGATGACACGTTTGCTAAACAATAGTGGTCCTACAAATTGAAAAAACACAAAATAGTCTGGTTAGCGGATAACGTCATAATGCAAACTAGAGACCAGAAGAAGCATTGTTTTTGCAGGTCATAATATTAATGGACGCGATAAGTAATGGTTAATTGACTGCAGAAACTGTTGTGAGACGGCCAACTATGTTAATGCTACTAACATAAGTAAGGTCGGAATTAAACACACTGCTAGTGTCATGCTGCTCCCAAGCTTTTTTGTAGTTTGTTTGAGTACCGATATAAGACGTTAACGAGCTATACTGGGTGGCGTATGGTTTTCTAATATCTCTCATCCAGTGAATGAGGTCATTGCCATTTTGCTGTTTGGATTGAAGAAAGTGTTGTACTTACATTTTGCATGTCTTGATATAGTCAAATCCAGACTTAAATAGGTAATATCGAAAAAAGAGATATTTGAAGGCGTATGTATTTTCGTTTCCCTCACTGTCATCGTGTTTATTTTTTAATATAGATGTTTTTGAAATTTCTTATTTCGAAATAACGGCGTTTTTCATGCCAATGGCGTATACACTGAAGTTTTAATATCTTCAAAAATGAATATCAGTATTCAGGTTGGCAGGTACATGTGTAGGTCTGTTAGGGTCGGTTGCGATTCATATATACAGTGCATACGCCCTGCTATCATTGAACATCATCTATTGTGAAAATATCTTCTTTTAGTGTTGTATACGATCGATTGTAACATTACTTAACATCATTTCTTTGTGTCTATTTTCAGCATGCATATTTTTCCCTATTTGGCATCTGTGGAATTGATAATCGGTGTATTATTTGAAAACAATGTTTGCAATCCGATCGTTACCTTCCAGTGGGAATGTGTGTTTATCGTTTAAGTAACAAAATTGTATTCTGTTGTATCTTATCAGTGTAGACATCGGTCGATAAACGTGTTCAGTCAGTATTTCTGTTACATGTGGTGTGTCGTGCTTTTTGTAAATTTTTAGTAGTTAATATTCTTGTTTAAAACATGTATGTTTTGAATCTATCAAATTTCGACGTAAACGCTATATCAACTAATATCAATATTTATTCATTCAAGTTATATATGGCAATGTCTGTTATTCAACTAGTGTCATCATCCGATACTCGAGTGTAAAGTAGTAAGGACATTTACATGTATAAGGTTTGATAAATCGTGTAGAGATAGATATAATGATTGATAGATGGTGTAGAGATAGATATAATGTTTGATAAATGGTGTAGAGAGAGAGATAACGTTTGATAAATGGTGTAGAGAGAGATATAATGTTTGATAAATGATGTAGAGATAGATATAATGATTGATAAATAGTGAATTAGATATAATGATTGATAGATGGTGTAGAGAGAGATATAATGTTTGATAAATGGTGTAGAGAGAGAGATAACGTTTGATAAATGGTGTAGAGAGAGATGTAATGTTTGATAAATGATGTAGAGATAGATATAATGATTGATAAATAGTGAATTAGATATAATGTTTGATAAATGGTGTAGAGATCGATATAATGATTGATAGATGGTGTAGAGATAGATCTAATGATTGATAAATGGTGTAGAGATAGATATAATGATCGATAGATGGTGTAGAGATAGATATAATGATTGATAAATGTTGCAGAGATAGATATAATGATTGATAAATGGTGTAGGGATAGATATAATGATTGATAGATGGTGTAGAAATAGATATAATGATTGATAAATGGTGTAGAGAGAGAGATAACGTTTGATAAATGGTGTAGAGAGAGATATAATGTTTGATAAATGATGTAGAGATAGATATAATGATTGATAAATAGTGTAAAATTAGATATAATGATTGATAGATGGTGTAGAGAGAGATATAATGTTTGATAAATGGTGTAGAGAGAGAGATAACGTTTGATAAATGGTGTAGAGAGAGATGTAATGTTTGATAAATGATGTAGAGATAGATATAATGATTGATAAATAGTGAATTAGATATAATGATTGATAGATGGTGTAGAGAGAGATATAATGTTTGATAAATGATGTAGAGATAGATATAATGATTGATAAATAGTGAATTAGATATAATGTTTGATAAATGGTGTAGAGAGAGAGATAACGTTTGATAAATGGTGTAGAGAGAGATATAATGTTTGATAAATGGTGTAGAGAGAGAGATAACGTTTGATAAATGGTGTAGAGATAGATATAACGATTGATAAATGGTGTAGAGATAGATATAATGACTGATAAATGTTGCAGAGATAGATATAATCATTGATAAATGGTGTAGAGATAGATATAATGATTGATAACTGGTGTAGAGATAGATATAATGATTGATAAATGTTGCAGAGATAGATATAATGATTGATAAATGGTGTAGAGAGAGAGATAACGTTTGATAAATGGTGTAGAGAGAGATATAATGTTTGATAACTGATGTAGAGATAGATATAATGTTTGATAAATGTTGCAGAGATAGATATAATGTTTGATAAATGGTGTAGAGATCGATATAATGATTGATAGATGGTGTAGAGATACATATAATGATTGATAGATGGTGTAGAGATAGATCTAATGATTGATAAATGGTGTAGAGATAGATATAATGTTTGGTAAATGGTGTAGAGATAGATATAATGATTGATAAATAGTGAATTAGATATAATGTTTGATAAATGGTGTAGAGAGAGAGATAACGTTTGATAAATGGTGTAGAGAGAGATGTAATGTTTGATAAATGATGTAGAGATAGATATAATGATTGATAAATAGTGTAAAATTAGATATAATGATTGATAGATGGTGTAGAGAGAGATATAATGATTGATAAATGGTGTAGAGATAGATATAATGTTTGGTAAATGGTGTAGAGATAGATATAATGATTGATAGATTTGTAAATTTTTAGTAGTTAATATTCTTGTTTAAAACATGTATGTTTTGAATCTATCAAATTTCGACGTAAACGCTATATCAACTAATATCAATATTTATTCATTCAAGATATATATAGCAATGTCTGTTATTCAACTAGTGTCATCATCCGATACTCGAGTGTAAAGTAGTAAGGACATTTACATGTATAAGGTTTGATAAATCGTGTAGAGATAGATATAATGATTGATAGTTGGTGTAGAGATAGATATAATGATTGATAAATGGTGTAGAGATCGATATAATGTTTGATAAATG